AATTGGTTATGCTAAATAGCAGATATTCAGACTCAAGGAAACCGACCCTGAGTTCTACAAGTTCCTCCAAGAACAAGATGCTGATCTGCTTGAGTTTCATGCATCCGATGAAGAGGAAGAAGAAGAAGGAGAAGAGGATGAGGAGGAACTGGAAGACGAAATGGAGGAGGATGATCGTGAGGAGCACAAAACAAAGCAGAAATGTAAGTCAAGTAGTTGCTTATTTATTACTACAGCATCCATATTCCAACTACTAACTCAATTCTGTAGTGGAAAAGAAGTCGCAAATCCCTAAAGCAAAGAAGGATAGTAGTGGACGATTAGTTTTTGATGGTGCAATGTTGAATTACCTGGAAAATGCGCTAGATCCTGAAGATGAGGTTATTGTATTATTTTGCTTTTTTTGTATAAAAATTGATGGGTTAATTTAGAAGCAGCGTATCAACGTGGATGATGTCCGCCTAGCCGTTGAAGCATTCAATGCTTGTGTCGCTCGCGTAGGGGCAGATGTCGATGCGCCGAAGTATATTATTAATGAACAGGTAAGCTATATTTTTTCTGAACTATTGTTTGAGAATAAATGCACGTTCTTTGATAGCTTAATTTGAAGCACACATATCTCAGCTCAGGATAATGGTATCAGTTCATCTTTTTGTCATAGGAACGTGCAAACTTTGCCGGTAAAAAGCGAATTGCACCATGGCGCTGGCTCCGATTTCATAGTTCTCGAAGCTAAAGGCTCGAGTCGCGGGGCTCTATTTTGACATGAGTGTTGTGTAATGATTGTTGGTTGAGAAGAATCTGATTTGGGAGGAGGGTAGCAGAGTTTTGTGGTTCGTCGCAAGGAAGCTATGTTTAATTAATATGTCGATGTGTTCTACATGGCGAGTTAGATTCGCATGCACATGATGTTATTCTCCATTCACAGTCGTTTTCGCATAAGAAGGATAGCATTTGTTATAAAGGGCACCTCGCGCATCTTGATCAATGGAATACCCCTATATATTGGAATAGGTGGGTCGTGTGCAATCACGTAATGTGCACGCAATTCCAAAATTGCCAAATTTTCAAGCCATTGAATTTCCCCCCATGCATGTTAATAAAGGATTTTGAATTGAAGAAAACTTATCTATTCCAAAGAATATTGCTTCATACGGCTCTATATGGATTCTCAAATTTAGGCAGTTTTCTACGCAACAGTACGTTTGTGCTTCGAGAAGCTCGGGGACGCCTTCAACATGCTTGTAACAGGAAAGTTAAGTACCAAAAAGTTTTCAATGAAAGTTACTATAATATGTTCTCTAATTAAGACATAGGACATATATGTGGATTTCGTCAGCTATATTGTGTAATTTTTTCATGTACTGTAGTTTTTGGGTAGTCAAGCTCCATGAAAAGTTTGAACAAAGTCAATCTTACAAACTTCTATTAGAAAGAAAAGAAGAAAGTGAGCAATTGACGTAGCAGCAACAGTAAATTGAAAAAAAAATAGCATCTATGCTTAAAGACCTTCTTTTGTAAATCTTCCACTTTGATCAGATCGG